GGGAGGGAGGGAGGAAATGTACCGAGAGCTCGAGGGGGGGACATATTCGATGTGAAGGTTGCTGGAGGAGAAGCCAAAGAGCTCCTCCACCTCGCGCACTACCGAGGAGAGGCAGTCGGCCGAGGGGCGCACCGGCCTGGGGCAGGGCGAGGCACAGCGATGGGGGGAGGAGCACACGTAAGTAAGTGCACGGGGAGGGGGCAGATGAGCGCGGACCAGGCGGGCGACCGACAAAGGCAGGGCAAGATGCGGCGCGCAACGAACACCTTGGGGAAGAAGAGCTGGGACGACGGATCGAAGGGATCATAGCAGAGGAGAAACTCCACGAGACCGCGATCGAGAATCTCCGCCGGGCGGAAGCGCGCCGGCTGGGTGAAGCGCTGTGCGAGGTTACCGGGCGCTGGCGCGCCGTCAGAAGAGGCAGAATAGTAGGGTGAAGCGGGGCTGTGACCGGCGACGGCCGAGGAGGGGATGGATGCGCTGGGGTTCACACGGTAGATGATGAGGGCAGAGTACTTCTCCGTCGATGAGCGATGGTCCATGGTGTGCGTGCGGGGGACGAGTGAAAAGACGGGGCGGGGGAGGAGGGGGGAATGGAGGGAGGGGGAGAAGGAGGGGGAGGAGAGAGAGGGTGGGGGGGGGGAGGGGGGCGGAAAGTGGGGCAGGGGGGGGTGTTGGGAAGAAGTAGAGAAGGCGGGGAGAAGAAGGGAGAGACCTCGGCCCAGTCGGTGCTGGCGCGTCGCCGCTCGCGGACTCCGAGTCTGCAAAGGGACTTTTCAGGCAACACCTTGCGGCGGGGGGGGGGGGGGGGGGGGGGGGGGGACCCGGGGCCCCCCCCCCCACCCCCAACCCCCCCCCCCCGGGGGGGGGGGGGGGGGGGACGGGGCGGGACACCGGGGTCCTCCCCCCGATCACCAGACCCCATCGCCCGAGGAGGGGCCGGGGGATCGGACGGGGACCGGACAGGGGGTATCCTGCCGAGTGGTCGGGCGGGGGCGGGTCGCCCGCCCACCCGCGCGCGCGCGCGCGCCTGTGCGTGCCGTAACCTTGCGTCAAGGACCACGCAGAAGAACATCTTTCAAGACGGGACGCGCCACCAATCCCCGCCCGGCTCGGCGCGCGTCCCACGGGCAACACCCGGCCCCTTCCAAGAGCGACCCTGGGGGTATCCCTGTGCAGGACAGGGAGGCCGGGGGGCGGGGGGGGGGGCTGCCCAAGATGACATCGAAGTGTCGAGAAGCGGGGACGGCCAACTGTGCGTGGTCTGATGGGGGGGGGAGTCCTGCGCGAGGGCAGCAAGGCGTGCCTAATGACATTAGGTTCTGCCTCAAGGGGAGCGCGCCCCGGGCCCGAGCGCCCTCACCATCTTCCCGCGGTAGATTGGGACTCACAACCGAGGGGAGGGAATAATTGGTTTTTAATAATCGGCCGAACAAGCAAGCAGGGCACCTTCACGCAGTTTCGCGCCCATTTCTCTCGCTCTCTCTTTCTCCTTCTTTGGCCTCGGGGCTTTATGGATTTTGTCGCATCCCCTCGGACCGCCCTCGGATATTGGAGCCCGGTGCCTGGTGCCGCGAGACCCCCCTACCCCTTGGTTGTGCCCGCTCGGGGGGGAGGGGGAGCAGTGGAGGGGGGGCACATTCGCACAGGAGGGCGAGATGGCGTTCGCGAGAGCCCCTTCCTCCCCCACACTCTCGGACCTGGGAGGTCAAACATTTTCCCCTATGGCTAATGGCTACCGGCGTTAGATCACAGTGCCTCGGCCATGGCCGCCGAAGCGCGAAAGCCCCAACGGAAATAGGCTGCCACCCCCGGAGGTCAGGGCGTCTGGCGCCCGATCGTTGGCTCTTGGAGGGTCCGGCCCGAGGGCAGCATAATGCTATTTCATCGCCATATGCCGACGATCATGTCACTTCCATGCGGGGCACGCCGGGGATCTTCTTCCCGGCCCCCCGGCTGCGCCTGGCTCGGCCATCGGACGGTCTTTGTAAGACACCCCGAAGCCGCAGGGCCCTCCTGTGGCCCCCCCCCCCCCCCCCTCCCCCGGCTCGTTGCTTGGCCGGGAGGCCACGCGTTGGATCCCGGCCGAGGGTCCACGTTTTCGAAACTCTGGCGCGTTATCCCTGTGTTCACCTGCCCTTCCCCTCCCTCGGCCTTGCGTCTGCCGGCGGCTGGCGGGGGGCCCTCGGGATTGTGTCTCCTGCCCCGAAGGCGGCGGCCCATGGGGTGGGGGCAGGCAGGCAGGCGGGAGGCCGACGCGGTGGGGGTCTCTGCGGCAGCGGCCACCGCTTCAGCCAGGGGGGGGGGGGGGGGAGGCGCCAGCCGAATAGCCAGCACCCAGGCGCCCCTCCGGGGGCTGCCCGGTGGGGCTGGGCAGCACCCTTCGCTCTCCCCTTCCTCCTTACCCTCCTCCCCTACTCGCTACTCGGTTCTACCATGCTCTCTGTTGTCAGCTCGGCTTCTCGCACCTCCCTGTTTGGTGGTGCTCGCGTGTCGGCTGTGTCCCTGGCTCGCGCGCACTTCACCACCGGCAATGTGGTGGCTTCGTCCGATGCCGCCCCCGGCGATGAGGTGAAGCCGGACATGAAGCTCCTTTCGCGCCTGCGCAAGGAGACCGAGCTCAGCATCAAGCAGTGCGTTCGCCAGCTGGCCAGCCGGGTCCTCCTGCTCACCACGCCCCTGCGGCGATGGGGGTTTCCCGTCCCCCGTATCTGACCATGTGCGCTGTCATTCGGCTGACCCCTCCCCACTCCCCCCGGCTCATCTCGCAGCGTGCGCACTGCTCTGATCAAGACCAACAATGACTATGACCTGGCCCTTGAGGAGCTGCGCAAGCTCGGCGCCTCGGTCGCCGCCAAGGTGTCCGGCCGCTCGATGGGCGAGGGTCTGGTCTTCTCTTTTGTCAAGGCTTCCGACGCCTCCTCCTCCCTGATGATGGAGGTGCGTAATGCATGTCACCGTCAAATGGCACCCCCCTCCCCCCCCTCTCCCCGGAGAGGGCTCCATGTGTCATTTCCCCCGCTTTGCCCTTTTCATTGCCGGCGTCACTGCCGCCGCCGCCGCCGCCGCCGCCGCCGCCTGCGTTCCATCCTGCGCAGTCGCTAACCCAACGCCGAATATGCCAGATGAGCTGCGAGACCGACTTCGTCGCCTACAGCCAGCTCATGCAGAAGACCTCCACTTCGGTGGGCGAGCGCCTGCGCGCCATCTATGAGGCTTCGCCTTCGGTGACTGCCGGCGCCCTGCGCTCGGCCACCCCGTCCGAGGAGCTTACCACCGACCCGGAGGTCAGCGCCTCCATGCACGAGCTGGTTGGCAAGCTGAGCGAGAACATTGCCCTGCAGCGTGCGGTCCTGCTGAAGGCCCCGCGCGGTGGTCTGGTCGGGTCGTACACCCATCTGCGCACCGCTGAGGACATCGGCGGGCGCCTGTCGGCCTCGGTGGTCTTCGCCCCGGCGGCCCCGGTGGAGGAGGACTTCACCCCGTCCGAGGAGCTGAAGGACTTCGCCAACAAGGTTGCCCAGCATGTGGTTGGCTCCACCGGCCCCGGTGCTGTCGGTGTTACTGTGGCCGATCTGCTGGAGCAGCCCTTCCTCTTCGACCCGTCGACCACCGTCGCCAACCGTGCGTTCCCGCGGCACCGGTCTCCGGTTGGGCCACCTCCGCGACTTTTCGCTGCCTGCTCTTCCTCTCTCTCTCTCTCTCTTACTTTGCCTAACCTCCCCGTTATTCTGCTCCCCCCCCTGTTCCTCAACACACACACACACACAGTGATCAAGAAGCACGCCCAGTCCACTCCCGGTGGTCTCGAGCTGGCCGGCTTCGAGCGCTTCGACGTTGGTGTTGGCCCCGCCTTCGCTCTGGCTTCCGGCGAGTCCAGCACTGAGGCTTCCAACTAAGAGCTCTCCTCTCTCCCCCTCCCCCCCCCCCTCAACCCGCCCCTCCTCCCTGTCCCCCATCATTCGGCGTCCGCAAATTGTACTACCTTCCTTTCCTTCCAAACAATGTACCTCCAGGATGCATGTCACCCATTGAGTCCCTCATTCCCCGGCCGCCCTGGCCTTTTCCCCTGTCCCTGGTTCTGCCTCGCCCCCGCTTCGCTCTCTTGCTCGCCGAATTCGCCGAAGGATTTCCCGAGCTCGCTTTGCCACTGTGGCAATCTATTTTGGGCCATTTTCCGGATTCCCCCAACCGGGTGTCATTTTACTTCCGACCGAGAGACGAAAGAATTTGAGCGGCTTCGGCCCGGGTGGCGGCAATACGCCGCTGGCGCTCAACCTCATCAGGGGAGTCCGATTGGGCCGCCTGCTGTCGGGCCGCTCCCGAGCCAGCCTCCGGACCCGGGGGCCCGTCCCGGCTGGCAGGGGTGGCCGAGGAGCCCGGCCCCGAGAGGGAGGGGGCTCTCCCCATAATCGGGGCGGGCTGTTGGTTCCCCATGGGCGACTGGCGCTCAATGGCCGTGGCCTCCGGGGGCTGGTCCCCGAGCTCATGCGCACTCAGGAACACATCCGGCCGGAGGCCCTCCGTCTCGAAGAGAATGAAGTGGTACTTAGGATTGCCGGCCAGGCCGGCTGGGCCGTAGTTGGTCGCGCCCGTGGGATCCGGGGCACCGGCGATCACGCGCCGGCGAATGTACGGCGCGACAATTTCCCGGGCAATCTGGTCGACCAGGGAGAGGGCCGCATCGCGGTGACGCTTCGGCCGGAGTTCAGACCCATGGTCAGCATGTTCTCCCTGATCCAGGGTCGGTCCGTCGCAGGGGCATTCATCCGGCCAGCAGCGGCCACCCGTGTCGAGGGCCACGCCATCGCTACATCCGAAGAGGGCATTCCAGCCGAGAGGAAGCGGTCGCCCGGCCACTCGACATGCCAGATCCACTGCGGCACAGGTGACCACCACTGGCTCATACTTGACCAGCAGATTGGTCACCAGGGCGTCATTGCAGAAGTTCCATGCTCGTTGGATGAGGTGGTAGTCCGAATCGAGGAGGCGCTCCCGAATGGCGGGCGGCAAGCTCTTCAGGTACGGCGATAGGGAGGAGCGGCTGGAGGGCGATGCCGGTGCCGGGGCCGTCGCTTCGTCGGCTTCATCGGCTTCATCCGCGTCATTTGTCGACTCGTCGGTCCGGTGGTGCAGGTCGTGCAAGCCCAGCACATTGGCATAGATGAGCAGCGATGCATGGGGAAGCTCCACATGGAGGTGGAAGCCCAAGGCTCGAATGATGACCTTTTCCATGGTAAAGAGAATATTCTCAAGCCGAGTGTACTCCTGAGGCCCGGCCCAGGGCCAGGAGAGGTGTCAAAGTGAGGGGCGGAAAAAAAAGTCCCCCAGCCGGCAAATGGTTAATGCGCCGAGAGGAAGGGGTGGGAGAAGAGGGGAGAGGGAGAGAGAGGGAGGAAGAAAGAGGGCAAAAGCGACGCCCACCAGTGAGGACAGGCAGCCGGATGGAAGTGTGGCGCACATCACTGAAGGAGACCAGCGGCGAGTAACCCGCATCCAGGGGGAGGCTGGGTGCACTTGCGTCGCCACCCGCACTGGAGGCCAAGCCGGTGCGCATGCGATCCGATGTTGGCGTGGCGTCCAGCGGATTGTCGCCCTCCAGACGCTGGCGCTCTTTCTGCCGAGCGGTCTTCAAGTCGGCCTCGGTGGGCTGGGCAATGACCGCACGCGACTGCGGGGCGGACCCCTGCTGCGCGCGCCACGCCAGGTAGTGGTACACGAAAATGGCATCACGATGATGGCGTGGGCGCTCGCACAGCTTGGATGCCAGGAAGACAGCCGCCAGGGCGGTCGGCCCGGCGGGGCTTCGGCTGAAGGACACCTGGTAGTAGTACCGTTGGAGGAGAACCTGCGCCGTGGAGATGACGTTCTGGGGGCTGATCCAGCGCAAAAGGTAGGTCCGGGTCAGTCGGGGAGGGAGCGGGGGGTGCAGGGAGAGGGGGGGGGGAGCGGGCGAAGAGGAGGAGGAAGAAGGAAGCGCGAACAAATGCCGCATGCACGAACAGAGTCAGAGCGATGCCAAGCTCCCAAACGAAGTCGCAGGTCCAGACGCGAAGGTCATACTCCAGTTCCGGCGAGAGGCCCTCCTTCGTGGAGGGCGAGGCGGCAAGGATGGAGTCCGGGAGGATGACATTTCCCAGGAAGAGATTGGGCGCCGGCGGGGCGCTTTGGGGCGAGCGGTCGTGCATGCGAGAGGGCGGCAAAGACAGCGGAGCGGAGGCGAGGATGACCAAGAGGCGTGGGGGTGGCAGGGAGAACAGAGCGAGGCGCCCGGTGGCACACGCGCAGCCCGCACGGCCTCTTGTATAGCGGCGCGCGCCCCCCCCCGAGCGATCGGGGGAGTGTTACGCCTGGAGGCGCATCATGTGATCGCTCGAATGGCTTCGTGGGCCCTCCACCAGTGGAGGGGGGGGGGGGAAGTACGGCATACGGGCCCAGCAATCCGTACTCTTCGGTTCCGGCCGGACTGCTGAGGGTCGGGGCTTTTTTGGCGGGCCGATCTGCCGGTAGTCCTGCCTACCAGGAGGGGACACCCCCCCCCCCCCCCCCCCCCCACCCACCACCCCCCCCTTGCCGCCCTGCTGCTCCTCCCGTGTTTCTTTCCTCACTCCAACTCCGAGGCATGTCTCTCTCCGCCGACACCATGACACCGGCCGAGGCCCGGCAGTCGGTAGCCTCCTTCCTGGGTCACTTCCTGCGGGTGACGCTGACAGATCAGCGGACACTGACCGGGAAGTTTATCTGCGTCGACCACAACTGCAGCCTGGTACTGGACAACGCTGAGGAGGCCTTTGGTGGTGCGGGTTTCCTTTGTGCACATTTGGGGCTGGCCTTTTGTGGCGTGCTTCATTTTTCCATTTCTCTTTTGCCCTTCTGCCACCCCTATTTTGCGGCCCTCTTCGCCTGCCTCCTTCCTGACCCCCGGCCCCTGCCAGCTGACAAGCGGTTCATCGGGAGCGCTGTCATTGCCAAGCAATTCATCCAGTCCATCGAGGTGGATTCCATCGCGCTGTGAGGACTTCGCAGCCATGTCCCCTGTCCATCCCTGCATTCTGATACATGAGCTGATTTTTTTTTTCACATCTATGGTGCATTCTATGAGTCATGATACATGGATCGGTGGCCCCTTGATGAAGAGGGTGCGAGAAACTAGGGCAGGAGACCCGCGCCGCCGAGGCACAAATAAAAAAGTGGCGAAGCGGCAAAACGGGAGCGGGGGAGGTCGGGCGGGGGGGGGGAGTGAGAAGAATGGTAGCCCTGATGGATGGGGAGGACGACAATCCCGACTTTCACCGGCCACGCTTGTCTAGGTCCTTGCGCGAGACGTATTCATACTTGACGAAGAGGCCGTCCTGCTTCTTGTTGGCCTTCTTGGCCTTCTTCTTGGCCTTCCTCCGCTCGACCACCTCCGGGTCGAGAACCCGAGCCGATGGAGCAGGCGACGCAGGTCCAGCCGAGGTGTCCTCAGCAGAGCTGGGCACGGGGGCAACCGGAACGACAGGCTGCTGGGCATGGTCGCCGGGGGCCGAGGTGTTCTTGGCAGACGTTCCGGACGGATTCACAAGGCGCAGTCCGAAGCAGGAGGCCGCCTCGCGGCGGAGCTGGGCCACACCGGCACCCGTGCGCGAACTCACAAACATAACTTCCTTAACGGCATACTTGTAGTCCGCGAGTTCCTGGCGCACAAAGACATTAGCGATGTGTGTGTGTGTGTGTGTGAGTGTGTGGATGCGCGGATGTGTGAGCACGCTCGCAACTAGGGAAGATGGGGAGGGAAGGCCCGTCTGACCGGCGAGCGGGAGAGAGCAACATATACCTTCTCAATGGACTGGGCCACTTGCAGGAGGTCGCGTTCCTTGACCAGATCGCACTTGGTCAGGACAACCTGGAACTTAGCGCGATTGTACTTGTAGATGGTTGGTCCAGACTCCAGGTCATCGTCGGACAGGGCCCCGGCATCAAGCGGCGTATCGGCCAGCAGAGGGGGCCAAACATCGCCCTCCTTGGTGATGGTGGTGCCAGGCTCCGGGGGGACGGTCGGCCGAACCGGGCGCGGCGGGACCCATCCCGGTGGGGGGGTGGGGCAATTCTCGAAGCGCCGGATGAAGTCGCGATCGCTGGCCTTCAGACCGTGACGGGCATCGGCCAACAGGAAAACCCGCGAGAGTCCAGGTCGGAAGGCGGCAAACTCCAGCATCTTCAAAAAAGGGGCCAGTGACGGGGCGGAGGGGGCAATCCACAGGAGGAGCGGCGAGGGAGTGGAGAAGGGAGTCGGTCGGGGGGGGGGGAGGGAGGAGAGCGGGCTCTACATGAGGGGCACGCACCATCCTGCGCCAGGAGTGCACGCGGGCCGCACGGCCGAAGGCAAACCCATAGCCGGGCAGATCAACGAGGACGGCGCGATTTTCCGGCTGGTCGGCCTTGGTCGGGCCAATGCCCTCGAGGCCCTTGACACGGTAGAAGTTGAAAGTCCGCGTCTCACCCGGGCGATCGCTGACCGGGGCAAAGGTGCTGCCAGTCAGGCGGTTGAGCAGCGAGGATTTGCCGACATTGGAACGGCCTGAACGTCCGGCCCGGGAGAACCAAAGGGGAGGCGGAAAAGCGCCACCGAGAGCAGGAGAGGGGGGGGGGTGGCCCGCCAGACATCGGGGTTGTGGTTAGCGAGGCGGAGAGGACGCGGGGCAGGGTGGAGAGGGAGTAGATCAACGCACCGAGGAAAGCAATTTCCGTGCCGACGCGGCGACGGCGCTTGTTGGGGTTCGGGGACTCGCGCTTCTGCTCATCGGAGTAGGGGAAGTCGGCCGGGTGGTTGCAGAAGACCACCTTGGAAAAGCCGGTGCGGAACATCTGACCAAATGACCAGGGGGGTCAGTTGGTGCTGAGGACGGCCCTGGGGCTGCCTGCGCAAAAAAAAAAAAAGGGGAGGGGGGGGGGAGGACAAAAGAGGGAGATGAAGGATGACACAGGGCCCCGGCAGGGGACACACACCTCCTGCAGGCTCTTGTCCTCGGGGGTCATCAGGCGATTGATGACGGAGGCAGTTTGCCCGCGCAGTTGCGCGTCATCCGGGACGGAGAAGCGTGCGACCTTCTGATTCCGGATGAGAGTCATAATTTCGCGATCAGTGCGCGAGCTTCCGCCGGAGCCAGGCCCAGCGGTGCCACTGGCAGCGGCGGCCGCCGCGGCGGCATCCTCCCGACGACGACGGGTCCGCGCCACGGCCGCAGGAATGGACAGCAGCTTGCCCTTGCGGGAGGCTGCAGCCGAAGCACCGGCGCGGCCCATTCCCGATGCCTGCTGGACGCGCTGCTGGTGCTGGAAGATCTCCTTCGAGGCGCTGGTGCGAGTTTGTCCGATACGTGCGCTAAATGAGGGCCTCGGCCGGGAGGGGGTGGACCCATCGCCGAATTGCCGGGTGATCCCGGCCTTCCGGCGAGCCGAGGAGAAGTCCCGGGTGGCGAGGGTGGCGCCAAAGGTGCCCGGCGCGAGGCCCACGCGTGGCGCCAGAAGCCCTCCGAGGCAGCGGGGGCCGGGGGCGGTGGCAAGCATGGCCGGCACCCGGGCAGCGGCCGAGGCCGTGCCAATGAGGGTCCGCGAAAGGAGGGCCGAGCGAGCAAGCATGGCCAGGATCCAGCGCGGGACAGATGGGGACAGGGAAGGAGGGGAAAGGGGAGAGGGGAAGGAGGGGGGGGGGGGAGAAGGGCGGGAGGAGCACAGGAGGGGCAGGTAGGCGGCTGGAGTGGGCTGGCGCATTGGCGAGCCCCCGGCCGGGCGGCCTCTTCGGGCTGGGGACTTTCGTGAGGGCGGGGGGCCGGCGATCCGGCTGCTCCAGCGCGTTGGAGATGGGGACCGCATGCGTGTGTGGCCAGGGGGCGCGCGGGGGCGAGGCCGAATAGATGCCGGCGGATGCACGATCGGCCGGAACGTGACCCGGCCGCACGCGCGTCTCCATTTCCCGCATCACGCTACCGCGCGCCCGTCCCCCCGATCGCGGACGTTGTGTGTCAAAGCCCCCCCCCCCCCGCCCGTTCCTCCGGCCAGCCGGTCGCGTCTGCTGGGTGCCGGCTCGGCCGCATTCCCCCAAGTTGCTGAGCTGAGTTTGTGGGTGTGTCCGTGAGTGTGTGCGG